AAGTTGCATGGGTAGGGGTGGCCCCGTGACTTCTTTCATCTCTAGCATTTCTGTCACACTAGCATATGTTGGCTATGGAGGAAGGAAAAACAATGTGGATGAGAGAACCTTAAAGAGGGGACTGCATGCAATTTTAGTTCACATTGCTTCAACATCTACCTATAGCCTTGTTCTGGAAATACGAGTTTCTCTGATACCCATAAGAGATCTTGGAACAAACCTCATTCACCTTCATATCATATCCAGTGTTTTCAAGATTTTAGCTATACCATTGCTTCCTTAAGTTTTCTCTCCCTCAATCTCACCCCTCTCATTGAAAAAACATGTCATTTAGTATCAACCTCACCACGACCTTTGTAGACCTCCAGTCTGTCTCCATTTCTTTGTACTTTTCCCTATTTTACAATTCTTCCTTTCCAATGCCAACTTTTCCATCTGGTCTAGGAGCCACTCCCTGGTTCCTATCATTTTGTCCTATCTATTTTTCAATTTTTTAATCTACCTCATGTTTTCACATTCTAACCATGTACATTTATTTTTTTCCCTTTATATTTCTCTATAAAATACTTTCAACATACAGAAAGCAATAGAACAAACATCCATGCAATTATGAGCAGTGTTGTAGAACACTGGCATGCATATGCAAAAGTAAGAGTCCAAAATATAAATCACTAAATTGTCTGGGGTGAGTGCTGCAGACAGGACAGCTGATGAAGTTCTCTGCCATTAACGAAGACTCAGAGTCTAAATGAATTTGCAATGGGGGGAGGCTAGGGAGAGTGCCATCGAGAGAAGCTCAGCCTTTCACTCTCCCAGACCAAGCTTTTATTGAAGATATGAACAAAGGAACAAGAAAATAGCACGCAATTGTGTTTTTGCTTATACAGATTAGTAAGTTACTGCTGAAAACAAGTATTCCTGGTTAGTAGGGAACACGCGCACAAGCCAGCACGTCCCTCAATTCTGGGAAGAAGTTGTTTGCAGAACTTCTAAGATCCTGGAACTCTGGGTGCAGAGTAAACAGGCATTCTCAGAAGACTCCAGCTCTCCTTAGGGTAATAGGCTGCCAAAATATGAGTATCTCAAATTTAATAAAATATGCCACCGGAGTAGTTGCACAGATTTACTCTCTGACTGACAGTGCATAACATCTGAATTCCTCCTAACCTCACCAACACTTGGTTTATTGGACATACTAATTTTTCCAAGGTCATAAAATGGAATCTCATTGTTTTCTTTTACCACATTACTTGTTAGGCTGGTGCTTACTGACTATTCCTCTTTGGTAAGTTGCCTATTCATATAGTTTGTTCTTTTGCTCTTGGGTTCTTTGACTTTTTCTTATGGATTTACAAAAGTTCTTTATATATTTTGGATACTAATCCCTTTGTTTTATGGGTTATGACCTTTTTGAAATCTGTATCTGACTTTTATGCTTATGGTTTAGTTTAAATGTAAAAATTTAACAGATTTTTATGCTTTGTGCTTTTGTGTGTGCTGTTTCAGAAATTTTGTCCTATTGAATACGGAAAAAGATCTGTTTTATTTTTAATTATTATTGTCTTCCTTTTAACATTTCTGACTTTAATCTACCTGGAATTTATTTTGATAATATTCCATTTTTATTTTTGTAATATAAGCATTGAATAGCCCTATATCAGTTGTACAGTGTGCAAATATTTTCTCCCATTCCATGGGACATCTCTTTGTTTTGGCTACTGTCTTTTTTGCTAGACAGAAGCTTTTGAGTTTAATGTCATCCTAACTGTTTATCAACAATCAAAAAAGATAAACTCATGCCATTTGCAGCAACACATTGTAGATGGAGCTGGAAGGGATTATGCTAAGTGAAATAAGTCAAAAAGAAAGAGGTAGGGAAAATGAACAAAGGGTCAAGACAAACACAGAATTTGCAGGTTAACCATAGAGTTGAGGCAAACAGCAAGGGAAAGGGAAAAAGAGGGGTCTAAATAGGGGAGGGAAGAGCCCAAGGACTGTTGTGATGGTTCATGGTGCTACGGTGGTGAGAACTCTGAGAACTACACCTGAGGGGAGAACAAAGATGTAAGAAAATGAAACGTAAAAAATAAATAAATAAATAATATTGAATTATACAAACATAATTTATTAACTAATTCATGCTGATTTTTAAATCAGTTTCATGTTTATTTCTAGATGTTTTCATTCATTGTTCTGTTCATTTATTTCAGTACAAATTTCACATTATTTTAACTAATAGAGCTTTATAAGGAGACTTGATTTCTGGCAGGGCAATTATCCTCTTTCTGATTCTTCAGAAATGTCATGGACATTCTTTACCCTTTGCTCTTACATATAAATTTTAGAATACGCTTGTCAGGATCAGAAAAGAAAACCATTTGATTTGTTTTATTGCAATTGCATTTTTGTGATACTGGTAATACTGAGTCATCCACCCATGAACACAATATTTCTCTCCATTTATTTAAGGTTTTCTCTATGCCCTTCAACAATATGTTAGTTTCTACATCAAAAGCTTGCACATCTTTTTACATATTTATTACCACCTGTCTTTTAGTTTTTATGGGTATTCTAAATGATAACTTTTAAAATAACATGAACCTGCTGGAGAATAGAAATGCTGTTTTATTTCCAATATTTATTTTTTATCCAACAAGCTTGTTGTCAAAATTGTTTATTAGTTCTGATTGCTTATACATATATATTCTATTAAATATTCTATGTTCCTGATTTGAAAGGGAATATTTTAATAGCTCATGGTTGGGCATGATGTTTGCTTTGGGTATAGGATAGATATCTATTATCAGGTTAAGAAAAATCTCATATTTTCCTAGCATGCTAACAGTTTTAGAAATGTTACGCATCTGTTTTCATGATTATATTGCCTTACTTCTTTAATTTATTAATGTAAATTTTATACTTTATTTTTGTAAATTACTTGTATAGAGTTTTCTAATATATTTTTAAAGGTTTATTTTTATTTATGCATACAGGAGCTGGGGTCTAGGCCAGAGGTGGGAGAGGGGTGAGAGGATTTACCAGAGACAGAGTGGGGAGTCATGAAATACGTGACTGAGGGAAGCATCGGGCAAGACAGGAGAGGACTGCTGCATCATGTGGGTCAGCTGGTTGGCCAGGGATCAAACTCAGGCCTCAGTGGCTGGCAATAGCTCAATAGCACTGACTTTAACCCCTGCACCACCGGGGAGGCCCAAGTTTTCCAATATTTAACTATCCTCACACTTCCAGAGTAAAGCCTACTTAATCATCATATATTTCTTTTTATATATTTAGTTAGGATTCTTAAATGTTTTACTACCTCACTAACATAGTATTTTATTTAGCTGTTAGGATTTTGCCAGTCTGGTAAAAAAAAAAAAAAATAGTTGTAAGCTACGTTCCTATTGTTCTGAATAAGGTTGAGTGTCTGCTCATGTTTGCCAATATTATTTGTACAAACAAAAAAGTAAACATCATTCTGATATCCATTTCTCTCATTACAAATGAGTTAAATCTTTTGTATATGTTTAAGAGACATTTGTATTTCCTATACTGATACATATAAATTGATAAACTGGATAAATAAAAAATTTACATGGTGAGAACACCATAGGCAAATTATAACACCACCACGGAAGAAACCAATGATGAAAATTTGTATTTTCCAATGAGACCTACAAATGGCAAAGAGGAGTATGAAAAGGTGCTCAACATCACTAATCAACAGGCAATGAGAATCAAAATGGCAATGAGATTACCATCTCACACTTGTTAGGATGACTATTATCAAAAAAAAAAAAAAGAAGAAATAATAAGTGCTGATAAAGATGTGGAGAAAATTTTGAATTATTTTTATATTTTTTTTTCCATCTGTGTCTTCAATTATTGATCTTTTTCTTTATTTGTCATTTCTTTATGTATTAAGAAGATAACTATTAAATGAGTTAAACATATTTTTCTTTTTTTTTAACTTTTTTTTTTGGTTAGAACATTTCAATTCTTGTCTTTTAGCAAATTTCAATTATGTGATACAGTATAATCAACTATAGTCACCATGATATACATTAGATCCTCAGACCTTATCACTGAAAATTTGAATTCTTTTACCAACCTCTCTCTATTTCCCCCATCCTCCAGTCCCTGGTAACAACCTTTCTACTCTTGTTTCTATGAGTTTGGCATTTTTTAAGATCACATGTAAATGATACCATATATTTGTCTTTCTCTAGCAAGTTTCACTTAGCATAATGCTGTTGCAACAAATTTCTTTCTCCTAAAGCATATGGATTTAAAATAAAATCCTTCCTCATTCTGTAATTATAAAAGTATTTCCCTCATTTTTTTCTATCATTTTCATGGCTTTTAAAAGTTAAATCATTGATTGATTTGGAATTTATCCTACTGTACAGTATAATATAAAGATCCAACCACAGGGTTTTTCCCCCAGACCTCTGTTTTCCTTCTTCCAAATATTCAATAATTCATCTTTTCCCCATTGACTTAGGATGCAATTATTATCACACACTAAATTCCAAGGAGCCATCCCTGTTCTCACTCCTTTATTTAAAGATAGCTTATCCTTCTTAAATATATGGATTTAGCTTATGTTTCTCATGACCTTTTCGCACACAGTCTTACAACTATTTTGCAACTGTTTTATTTATCCTACTAAATATTAAGCTCATTAGGAGCATTTATGATAATATTAGTTAGTAAATAAAAGCTTTAAGCAAAAGAAGACAATTGAAAGATTTTTGTGTTACCCACTGCTAACTCGGGACAAGAGGGTGCTGTATACTCTGTTCCATTCTTTAAGCTGTCATACTTCTACCCTTGGTTTGAAGTAGATGAGGTGTCTGTCCAGTTTTACCAGCAGTAAGTAAAGGAGCATGCCCTAAAATCCAAAGCCTGAGTCTCAAGTCAGGCGGGATAACCTCCCATATCCAACTGTACTGCCCAGAGATCCCAAAGTTGCCCACCTGTGCTCTGTCTCTTCCCAGGAGAGATACCAGATCTCTACCCTGATGATGAAGTTGAAAATATTATAAGCAATGTGAGAAATGAAGTCAAGAGCCAAGGTCTGGTTGACAACAGAGAGAACTGCTGGAAGTTCTTCCTAGACCGTGTCCGACGACAACTAAAGGTATAGAAGGATCTACTGCCCAACAGAGGGAGGATCAAGGATGGTTCATAGGATTCTCTACTAATATTTTGGACACAAGCAGGAGTGGGCGGTTAGGATGCAATGCTCTTCTCATCCTGAATACCTTTGCAAAGACAGCTTTCTCATCTGTTCCATGGATAGCAACCTCCCTCTTGCCTCATGCAGGCTAGGGGTTCTTCATTTCTTGCCTAAAAAACCTATCAGTTAACTTGGGGACCTCCCTGGTGGTGCAAGGGGTTAAGTCTCAACACTATGAAGCTATCCACAGCCACTGCAGCACAAGTTCAATCCAGGGCCAGGGAGCTAACCCACATGGTGCAGCAGACCACTCCTGTCTCATCCACTGCTTCCCTCAGCAGTGTATTTCAGTAAATCTGCCTATTCTGCTCCCCACTCTGTCTCTGGTTAGTCCTCTCACCCTCCACTCCTCTGGCCTGTACCCCAGTTCTTGTATGCACAAATAAATAAATCTTAAATAAAATCTATCAGTAATATAAGCATTTTTGTCTCTGTTGGATGTGCTTCCCAATTTTCTAGGAGCTAAAGAATCCAAAGCCCCTCACTGTCTCTCTACAAGCCCCTCACTGTCTCTCTGCAAGTACTTCACTGATACCTTCTTTTTTTTTTTTTTTTTTTTTTTTCACTGATACCTTCTTGTTCTCCCCACCCTTTTGACTTTTTAGGTGACTCTCTGCTTCTCTCCTGTGGGGAACAAACTGAGGGTGCGCAGCAGGAAATTCCCAGCCATTGTGAACTGTACAGCTATTGACTGGTTCCATGAGTGGCCTCAGCAGGCATTAGAGTCTGTCAGCCTCCGCTTTTTGCAGAACACAGAGAGTATTGAGGTAAGAAGGAACAGGAGACACTCTTCAGGAACCTCTCTACCTCAAGGTACAAGAAATTCATTGTGAAGAATATCAGGGTTAATGTTTAGGCTTGGAGAGAGTTCTTGGAACACAACTTTTCACGTGGTGAAGCAATGCATCAGGTGGGCCATCACCTCCAATCGTCATGTTGAGATAATCTATTTCCTTCTCTTTGCCTTTAGCCCACAGTCAAGCAGTCTATTAGCAAGTTCATGGCTTTCGTCCACACAAGTGTGAACCAAACCTCGCTGTCTTATCTGAGCAATGAGCAGCGCTACAACTACACAACCCCCAAGTCATTTCTGGAGTTCATCAGACTCTACCAAAGTTTGCTGCAAAAGAATGGAAAAGAGCTCAAATCCAAAATGGAGCGGCTGGAGAATGGGCTGCTTAAGCTCCATAGCACATCAGCCCAGGTGAGCAACAGCCTTTCGATCTCTCCTGCCTTTGGGATGCTCAGAGGGAATGGGAGCAGCCCCTTCCAGATCATAGGAGGGATCACAATCAAGGTCCAGGAGTTATTTATGGTTTTCCAGAAGCCCTAGTGTCATAAGCAAAAGTGCCCAAGGTTAAGGTGTGGCTCTTCCAGCAGAAGTGCTCATCCTCAACCTCAGGTCTGGTCTGCTCTCCCTCATGAACTCTAGAACCCCTGAAGTACCTCTTCTCTCCTTTACCATCTTCCTCTTTTACCTTACTTTCCCTTCCTCTCCCATCCATTTTCTTTCCTTCTTCAAAAACAAGAGAGTTGAATTATTGAGAGAAATGGTTACAGGGTCATACCAATTTTCCTTTGTCTTTCTTGTTTTATTGTATTATTTGTCAGTCATTGGAACTTAATTTATTAAATAACTCCTGTCTCATTTTATGCATTTCTTTGTGTATTCCTCAGTGGTTGGCCACCAAAAGGAGATCTTGTATTTCTCTTACTCTTCTAAATGGAACAAGTTTATTTCAATTTGTTGTTCTCCCCTTGAGAGTTGGGGACAACTCTAGTACCTTCTCTGCTTCTATTCATGCCCATCAAATATTGCTGGTTCTTTGATGGCCCCTCTTGTGCTCTGTTTATCAGTAGTAGAATTGGCTTCTCATTAAGATGGCAAAATTTCATACATTTGCACAATTGAGCTAAAATTGTGAGCAATGTAATTCGTGGACATCACATGTTCATATAAATAACTATGCCTATCATTTGCTGTTGTTTTCTCAGAAGTTTGTCTTTTAGAATAGCTCTTTTGAACTTCCTCTTTTTGACTTATCCTGTCTCCCCACTTCAGTTTCTTGATTCATAGATGTTATATGTCTAAAGAATTTCTGTTCATTTAATGGTATGCAGTGAGCCCTTGCAACCTATATACAGTCTTTCTTCTGCTTGGGAAACTTTTACATTATGTGGTTTTGTTCATCTGATCTGGCATCTCCTTCAGGAGTAATGATGAGCTGGATGGCTTCCTTGTGCCCCATGTCTATTATGTTCTCACTCATTGTTTCAATCCCTTTGGTCTTTTTACTCTACTTTCTAGGAGAGCTTTTCAATTTTACCATCAGTAATACTAATTTAATAGTGTGTAATAATGCTTCTGCTTCTTATGATTCCAGTGAAGAATTCAATTATACTATTACATTTTTAATATCCTAACAGCCATGTTCATCTCGTCCTTTTTCCCTTTCCAACACATCCTACTGCTTTTTTTATTTAAGTCTGATTTCCTGTAACTGTATCACAGAAAACTTTTTACTAATCATGTCAAACAGCTTCTTCCATAATTTTTGTAGCTCCAGCAATGAATTAATTTCATAGCTGTATTCTTTTTAATCTTCTAGAAGATTATTCCCTTCCTTACTCTTTATTTTCATAGAAGACCTTTTTTATTTTTCATTTACTTTCAGGCATAGTGAGATCTGTTTAAACTCAATGTCTTTGAAGTAGCCTGTGACAATTATGAAGCTATTGTCCATTTCTATCAAAACCCCTTCTTAGATCTATAGTTCGGGGCAGGTTAGATTCTGCTCACCTTTACATTTATCTTATAGTGCTTACCCCTGTATAACATATTATATAATTTACTTATTTGTTGTGTCTATTTTTTGTTGTCTATCTTCATCTGTCGATTACAAGTTCTAAAATGACTTGAATCCTGTCTGTTTTTTTTGCTGATGTATCATAAGTGCCTACGACAGTGTCTGCTCAGTGGGTATTCTTAATTACTTTCTGATGACTGAATAGCATTCTTCTTAGTCTCTCTGATTATGTTCTGACAGCACTCTCCAACAGAAATATTATCCCAGTCATGTATGTGTGTGAATTTAAATTATGCAGTAGCTGCATCAAAAAAGTAAAATGGCACAAGTGAATTTTATTTAATGGTATAATTTTATTATACATATAATTTTATTATTTTATCATATATTTCAGTAATATAATTTATTTGACCCAATATATCCAAAATGTTATCTTATCACTTTAAAATGTAACCAATGTAAAAAAGTTATTAATGAATTGATTTCCTTTTTTTCTATAAGATTTCAAAAACTAGTATATATGGTTATACTTATAGTGCATCTTAATTGGAAAAATACACATTTTAAGAGCTCACACACTACATGGGACTAGTGTCTACGAACCTAGCCAGCATAGCTCTGGGCCCACCACTATCCTGCTCCTAAAGTGATATTTCTCAAATCGTAGTCTGAATGTTCTCTTTTGTAGATCTTAATAGTTTAGATGTTACAGATCAGATTCAGAAATAGCTCTTTCAGAATTCTTATAATTGTATGCTTGCATGTTACTCCACCTTTTCTTACTACCACATTGTACCCTGGAGTCCAGCAGTACTCTTTTCAGTTCCCCCAGAGTGCTATAGCAGACTCACATTTCAATGTCTACATATGCGTGTGCTCCCACTTTGTCAGCTTGTCATTGACAAGACCTAAGCTCTCTCCCTCCCTCCCCTGACCCAGAAGCCCTTTCTAAGACTTGAGCATGTTTACATCCCTTTCTTTGTTGCTCCATCCTCAAATTATGTTTCTTCTATTGCTATACATCATGCTATGCTACTTATATATCATGCTATGCTGTTTGCATAGCATGTCATACTGTTATCAGTCCTTCAGGGGCAGAAATCGGGTTTCATTGGCTCGTGATAGATAGTCTATAAATGGCTAAATAAATGGTAGCTGAGTATATGGCAGACAGATAGGCAAAGAAACAAATGATCAAGTTCTAAAACCACCTACAAGCTCAGAGAGTGGGGACGGAAGATGGTTGTTCGCAACACTGTGTACATGGTCTATATTCTACAAATACTAACTGATGATTATAATGATGATTTTTTTTTATAAAAATGATACCTAGAGTTTCTAACTCTTATATAAACCCATCATTTGAAATTGTCTCACTTGTAGAAAAGGTCTAACGTGCATTATCATAATCTTGGCGTGAGGGCAGTGACTTGAGTGACAGCGCATCAGTGTCCTACTATCCAATTATGACTGAAGGTTAAATAAATCTCACAGCTCTGGCTCCAATAGCCTCTAAGTTCATTTGGTAATGACAGTGGTAACGATAACAATAATTAACAACTGTATCATTATTGAAAGTTTATAAACTTGCTTAGGCCCAGTTGGTAAAACATCAAATTTATTTTTCTATAACTGAATACAGATTAGATCTGAATCCATCTTTTTCATCTGAGAGTAGAAACCTCCTAATCTTGCATTTTAGATTAACTTGGTTACTTCAGGTTCAAAACTTCGGTCTTGGGAGGGTATTCAGTTCAGGGTTCTAACTTCTTCTCAGGGTTGTTTCCCTCTTAAGGGTCTTTTCTCTTTCTCAGCTCTGTGGTGGTATTGGGTTTCAAGCAGCAGATGCCAAACAACATGGTGTGTTCCTCAGTTCTCATTGGCTCTTATGACAGTGGCTGGTCCTGCTGAGTCTTTAGGTGGCATCTTCTGTCTTTGCTGTAGCTTCAACTGAAAACTTCACAGTTGGTATAACTGTGTTCTCTCTTTTGGCTTCAGTCTCACTTCATATTTCACTGGTACCCTCAGAACCCACTGTCATCCCAGCTTTTGTACCTAACTCAGGTGTACTCCTAATAAAAAAGGCTATTGAACTGAAGAAATGTTCACAAAAGGCCTGAAGGCTGTTGCCAATTCCCTGCATATGGGATTTACTCCACAAATCTGTCAATCTGGAAACTTTAACATTTAGTTAATCTTGAGGTTTCAAATAGTCTCAGGCTGCCAAACTTACTGAAGCTGACAGTTTAATCAGTTGTGATGTATTTGTCAGTACTCTTGGTTGCCAGTGAAAAAACTAACTAAATTCACTTAGCAAAAACAAATAAAAATGAAATGAAAAATATGGAAAGAGAGACGTGAGGAAGAGGGGAGGGGAGAAGGAAGGAAGGAAAGGAGAGGAGGAGAAGAGAGGAAAGTGAGGGGAAGAAGAGAACAGTGAAGGGGAGGGGAAGAGAAGGGAGGGGAGTTGATGGCAACTGACCATAATCCAACTGATTTTGCCTAGACTATTGTTTAGGCAAAACAACAGGATAAAATTAAAAGAAATTAATTGATTCATAAAATGAAAATTCAGATATAGAGAACTGGACTGGCTACTCAGTCAACGTCCCTGTTCAGACAGGCAATCTCCATAACTCTAACAACCTCCGACTTAAATTAGTTTTGCAACCCCACTATAAAAAGGAATGTCTCTTTCCCAGTATTTTCTACCAACTTCCTGGACGGAAGTTCATTGGCTCTGATTGGCCACTTTGGGCCATTGGTTTACCCATAGTTGAATCCATCTCTATGACTAGGACACTCCAATTGGCCAATTCAGGATCAAATAAGAACCACCAGAGTAAGCTTCACCCAAGTGACAAGGACTTGGAAAGGAAGAGGAGAGCACCAAAGGAAAATCAAACTATGATACCAGAACAGGAATGGAAAGTAGTTATTAGACAGGCAGCATAACAGATGCCTACTGCAGGTGGGAGCCATGTGTAAGAGGAAAGCCAGCTTGACATTGAAATTCATATCAGAAAATGGGGTGACTATATGGACTCCAAGTTAAGGAGGATATCTCTAGCCCTCCAACCCCTAGAGGAGAATTTATTGCCATTGATTTTCCTGGGTTCACTTTTTTTCTGGCACTTTGGTAAAAAGGTCATAGAAAGCTTGGTCTCTTGTTTTAGCATCTTGTGCCTGGTGCTTGAAGAAGAAAGTGTCTCTCACTAACATCTTGTCGTCACCCACTCTAATTGACATTCTTCCCATTACCACACATGATCAATACTCATGGGGCCCACCAGACTGAGGGAAAGGGTGTCTTCAATGTTTATATTAGTCTCCCTCTTAATCTTCCAAGTGTCTACAGAAGAAGAGATCCAAAATATAGCTCAGGTGGTTTGAATAGGGAAAACAAGAGAAAAAATTAAGTAACTTATTTTAATTTCCTGTTCAGTTGTAGAAGAGCCATACAATAAACCTGAGTTATGCCTTCTCTGTAGTTTGACAGGGGGCAGCCTAATTCTGACTGGCAGGGCTCATGTCACTCCATGTCAGGGCTTAAGGGCTATAAAGCTCCCATTCACAGAGCTTGCGATGATTTACCTTGAGATCTTAAACTGTATCTGCAATCAACAAAACAAACAACAATAATAACAAAAAAAAACTTCAATTTTCTCAAATCTCCCAAGCTTTAAAAAGGAACAAAAAGTTACTGGTGTGTTTGCTGACTGCAGTGATTATGTGGTTCAATCATTTTGATTTACAATTGCATCTTTGTACTGGTAGAAATAACTCTCTGCAGCTGAACAACGGGAGATAGAAATGGATTAACCTTCCAACATGGGACTATAAGACGTGTTCCAGGGAGCAGGCCTCCATTTGAGGTTAATGCAAAGTCTCCAGTTTCTATGAATACACAAAATTAAAGAGCATTCTTTTTTTTTTTTTTGCTTTCCTTTTCTTTTCTTTTGATCTGCTATGAAAAGCAAATTATCAGCAGTGTCTAAGCCTCTGCTTTATTTTTCCCCTTATGCATTTTGCATCATAAAGCATTTGAATCTGTTTGACGTGTTCCAGGAGCTCTGAAGTAATCTTTGGTTTTACATGAAATAGACTGCAGAGAAATGAGAGACCAGAGGTCATTCTGGAATGTAAATTGTATGGGCCTTATTGCAAATAAAAATGACTTTTTTACTTTCCAGAAATAAATAGATCTGAGTCTTTTTGCACTGGAAAGGCCAGAATATTAGGCCAGTGATTCTCAAACCTCAGCAGGCATCAAAATCACCCAATGGTCTGTTAAAACACAGATTGCTGGTCTCCACCTCCAGAATTTCTGATTTAATAGATTCAGAGTGAGGCCTGAGATTTTGCATTTCTAGCAAGTACCAGATAATACATATCAGTATCATACATACTAATGAGGAGTCCCACCATACACTACTGGCCCCTATGGAGAATCCCACCATACTCGACTGATCTGTATTTAGATTAAAAAAAAAAAAAAAACCAACTGTTTCTCCATCTCTGGCTAATCAGAGAAATAGATCATAGAAAGTTTCCCAGGTGCTAATATCCCATCACTTTGTTACTGCTTAAGAAATGCCTATGACTTCAGGGGCTGGATGGGAAGCCTTTGAGATTCTTGAGATTCTTGCCATTGATTCCTGAGATTCTTGAGATTCTTGCTGTGCTACTCTACCTGGTCATCTATTTCTTGTAAGAATTGTGGAAATAAATGAAGACTAATCAAATAAGAACAAGCAAAGGCTATTTATTCAGAGTTTTCTAAAGTCAACCACTTTACTTCCATTTGGCAGAGACTCAAACTCAGGCAGAAGTATGGGGACGTTTGACAGTGGAGAAAAGGCAAAATCTCAGATGTGCCCTAATTGAAGATTGTTGGCCTGGGAAAACTGGAGGTGGGCCAACTAGAAGTAGGGCTTCCTATGTGATTGGTTCAGGGTGCATGTTAGACCTTTTGTAGTTGGTCCTAAATAGGAAGTAGGGACAAAAAATTAAGAGAATTGTCAATAGTTAATCAAACCCTTGCCATTTAGAGCCAATTGTCTTATAGGTTGTTGTTTGGATTGTTACCGGAGACAATAGACTGACTTCCTACAAGTCTGAATTACAGAAAACTAGCTTCCTGGACTGGTTATTTTAGATGATGGGTTGGTTTCCTGGGCAGGTTGCTGCAAGTTGTAAGTCAGAGTTTAACTTTTATATGTGATCTGACCATTGTCTATTCACACATTCAGTCTTTCAGGATACACAGTAGGCACTCACTTTTTATATCTTCTTGTATCTTTGACACACTCCACATTGGCTGATTTCAATTAAGCAATAACTAATTTTTATTAAGGGGCTACTATGCACCAAGTGTTATGCACATCACGGTTTATTAGACAGAGATGTCAGTGAGATGCTGTCCAAGTCATTTGGGCATTAAGGATAAAGAACAGTCAGGACATATGTTGCTTAGAATCTTCCACCACATTTGTGGTAGAGAAGAGAGGAAAGGGAAGTCCTGAGTTACTTTCCTGCCTCAGGCCAGGGAACTTGGTCCCAGCTGAAAGCTGGGCTTTGCACTTTTGCACCATGAGTCTACATTCTGCTCTGCTCAGATCCCCAGGTCTATGCCTGAAGTTCACCTATTCCCCATCCCTCTATTCCTGATAAGCTTGTTGCTTCTCTGCTCCAGGTGGATGATCTAAAAGCCAAGCTGGCCACCCAGGAAGTGGAGTTGAAGCAGAAGAATGAAGATGCAGACAAACTAATTCATGTAGTAGGTGTAGAGACTGACAAAGTGAGCAGAGAAAAAGCCATTGCAGATGAAGAGGAGCAGAAGGTGGCCCTCATCATGCTAGAGGTGAAGCAGAAGCAGAAGGACTGTGAGGAAGACCTGGCCAAAGCAGAGCCAGCACTCACAGCAGCCCAAGCAGCTCTCAACACTCTCAATAAGGTAAGAGGGTTGTCTTCTGTGCCTACTTACCCTTTATCCCCCAGTGGGAGGAGCCTTCTTTATCTGACCTAAAGACAAATTGGGGTCCTGATGTTCCAAATAGATACAAGGTCAAAGCTGGGAGGACTTAGTACAGGCTCCTGCTGTCACTGGTTTATTCACTGAGCAAAGAAACTGCTATTTAAACTGACTGTATGTCAAGCTCCATAAGCTACCAATAGAATCCTTGAGATGTGAACTTTAGAACCAATCAGGACAGGAGTGGTCAACTGGTACAGCTTCTTCCCTTTACAATGAGAAAGCCAGGGCTCAGAGAGAAGACCTGTCTTGTGTGGAGTCACAAACCCCAATATTTTTAAAGCCAAAGATTTGACCTCACGTCTTCAGAATCTAAGCCCAGAAATCTTCCAGTTATGTGTCCCTGGTCACTTTACCCATTGTGTGCTATATAATACATGAGATTTTAAGTGCCCATGAAAATCCTTAAGACATGAGATTAAAATAATGTACTGGCTCCAAAATATGAAAAAAAATCTACAAAATCAAAATCAGGCAGCATTCAACTAAATAGCAACAATAAGGCAATATGTGTGTCAACTAAATTCAATCCATTTACATAACTATTTGGTGAAACAAGCATGACTCTTAAGAAGTATTTATAAGACCATTTTATCTGATTTCAAATTAAATCTATGTGTTCAAGGGAGAATATGGTTCAATATTTCTGTCATTTTTCACACTTAACCTCCTTTGCCATTTGATAACCATGATTAAGGGACAAAGGGAGAAAGAGGAAAAGGGGGAAAGATGCTTATGCCATCAGGGGTTGCCATGAGAAAAGGACTAAGAAGCTGACCCTTTCTCTATCAGGGTGCTTGCATAGGCTCTTTGGAAACCCTCCAAAGAGGGATCTCTCCTCTAAAGATTGCTTTCTCCTCCTTTGCCTGAGAGGCTAGCAATCCCTTGCCCCTTCTCATGGCCAACTTGATCAAGGTCTAAGACAACTTATCCAGCTCTACCATTCAAGCAGCTCACCTCTGGAGAGCTGTTCTCCTTTGCCCCAAACATGTTCTGGGAGTGTCAGCTACCCATGCAGTATTACTGTCCCTACCGACACTCTCAGGAAGCTAGCCAAGCTCCAGATGTAGACCTCAGTCTACTGTGCACTAGCGATATAGTCTACTGCATCATTCAAACTACAGGAGAATCACGTAAGCTGCCCAAGTGGTCTCCTTAACTCCCTTCCTTTAGACTTGATATAAAAAGGGCAGATGCCCCACATCTTCCTTTAAAGGCAGAATAGGAGTGAGTCACCCTCAACTCTCACTAAAATTTCTTAACCCACCTTCTGTACTCTTCTATATCTCAGTGTAGATAAAGGGTTTAAGAGTCAAAAAATTAGTATTCTGAAACCTTTCACTAGGTCTGTATAACCATCTCATATCTCACTTTGGAAAGTAGAACCTGTTGGCTTACCGCCTCAGCAAATCTGAGAGTAAACTAGCTACATTATAAAATCCTACTACATGAAATATATATAAATTGTCTTTAATGTGAGATGAGTGTGTTTTAGTATTTCTTGTAATGTAAGAGGGAGTCCCTAGGACCTAAATAAAGGGCTTTACCTTACCCTCTACCCTGCATCAATAGAAAAAATAAGATTTCTCTCTACTAGGAACTCCTGGATATTATCAAATAGATCAGGAATTGGAGGTGTAGTTCAATTATTTCATCACTTCTCAGCTTGATCCTTTTAATACAGCCAGGCCAGACTTCTCTCTGGACCCTCACAGTCACATCATTTCCACCTCTAGATTTTGATTAGACTATACTACCCCTCCCCTATCTCTCATCTCACATTTCTTCTTCTTTTATTATATTCTATCTAAATCCTACCCATGTTTTAAAATCAAATTTACTTTATAGATCATTCTAGATCTCCTTTTGCTGATTTTTAGTGTACAAAACATGGAACCACTTTATTTATGTACGCTCCTGTAATGTTCACTGATCATTTCTCATCAATAAGACTGTCTTTCATAAGACCTTTTGACACAGGGATTCTATTATCTAAAATGAGCTGAGCCCAAATATTGACTGTACTCTTTGGACCTGGGAATTATTGTGCCTTCTCTGAGCCTTTGTTTCCTCATCTGTAAAATTGTGGTGATCACAACATAACCCACATTCAGCCATTACAGTGTTAAATGAGATAATGTATGCAAAGTTGCTAACAGATGACAAATGTTCCATAAATGTTTGCTATTATTGTTTTTCATATCATTTGTAACCAGTGTTATCTCTTCTACTTCCACAAAACTACAAATACAATGAGCACCCATAAACAATTTTATTTAATTTGATGACTGGTTAGTTGATTGATTAAACATATAGAGATGTGACTTATGGAAACAATGGGGTAGGATTGGCAGGGAGTATTTGAGACACAGCAGGAAGATCAGTAGTGAAAATGGTACTAGTGAAAATGGTACTAGAGTTGACGTGTATCTCAGTCACAAAATAACTTCATTTTTAATGAGAGCCTACTATGTGCCAGGCCATATAATGTGTACTTTCCTATAACTATCATTGAGGCCTGGAACAAGTCACTGAAGTCCTTAATCCCTCAGTTTGTTTTCTCTATTACATAGAAAGGAGCAAATAGGCATTAAAGGGTTCTTTGTGTCACATACAAATTCTACCTTCAAAGTATATCCATAATTCAAGGGTTTTATAGCCTCTTTACTGCTACCACTTTGGTCCTAGCCACCATCCTCTCTTCCCAGAGCCTCTCACCAGGTCGCTCTGCTTCTACCCTTCTTCCAATGATGCCTTTGAGAAAAAGGAGTCTGAGTAATTTTTTTAAAACAGCAGTTTGACCCTATCAATTCTCTCTGTTCACAGTATTCTAATGGTTTACCATTGCATTCAGAACAAAATCCAAAATTATCACCATAACTTATAAGGACTTATATAATTTTGTCTGTCCATCTCTTCTTCAATATCCCTCTTCTATGCCACATCAAATGACTGCTCCTCCCGTCATTCTACTCCAGGCCTTTAAGCTAGCGATTGTCTGTGTGGCGTATTCGCCTCCCAGGTATCCCCATGGTTCCCTCCTCCTCTTCTTTAAGAAGAATGTCACCTTATCGGGAAAAATAAAATAAAATTACTTATTAATTTCAGAAAAAAATAGGCTTTACAAAAAAGAAAACACAGTCCAAGGCAAACAATTTTTATAATAATAATAATCATGTATACTGTATGTTGATTATATTGAAATTTTATACACACATAATGGGGTGGGCACTGGGAGGGAAAAGAGGGCAATAAAACTAATGAAATAGTCATCCTTTACAATAGTAAGTCACTTGATAATATCTAAAGTTTTTTTTTAAAAAACAGCGTAAGTATGTTTATCAGCATAGGTAATGATGGCGGAAGTTGTACGTGGCGATTGGAGTTGAAGCCTTGTGACACTATTTGAATTGGTAAACTATACCTTTATGATATCAACAGACATAGACATTTACAATTTTCAATATTGTGAGAGCACAGAAGACGGCATTGCTCACTGCCTGCCCAGGTAGGAACTAGGAAGGAGAAAGTCCGGGGAACAAGGAAAGCAGGAGTGAGTATTTTCCTTGATGGAGAAGGAGATAGAAAAGACCAGCCCACTTTTACAAAGACGTGGATGCCTGAAAGGATGTGGCATGTATGAACTGTGGGTATACAAGTAGGTGCCTCAGAAAGTGACATGGAGATGAATCTCTAAAGGTTGGTGGAGTAATATTGTTAGCAGCCCCATGGAATCACTAAAGAGGGGACTAGTGTTTACCATATGCAGGTTGCAACCCATTAATGGGTCTCATGCAGTATATTTTGTTGGTGGAGAACAGAGCGTCACACTGATCACATGCATGAAGAGATGTACTATTGATTCATGACCCCAAGGGCCCCCGGAGTAGCCTCAAACTCTTTGCATACATTGGACTATGGTACTGAAGGACCACTTTTCTGTTTTCTCATCATTTTCAATGTTAACAATAACTCTAGTTAATACATAAAGAATACCTGTAAATCAGAACTTGGTAGTAAGAGTCTGCACATTTTAAGTCTCTGTTTTGGCATTTTTATTTCATTTTTATAGCTAACCTGAAATTAATCCAGTATAACTTTTCCTGCTTTATTTGAAGAATGGTTTTGCTTGTAATTTCATGGCCATTTTCACCCTACAACATTATTTGAAATTTCCTATTTCCTGTGCATTTTTACACTGACTTTGCTTTTTATTATACAAATACCATATGATGGCATTTTCAGTGTTAAAAATAATTCACATAATGTAGTCTACATAGGGTAAAATATAAAGTCACTCTTATTTCTGATTCAGCCCCAGTTCTCTCCCATGAGAAAATTCCTATAATAGCTTGGAGTGTATCTATTCCAGGAAATTTTCTATGCATTTATATTTACACAAATGCATGTATAAAATATATTTTAAATGCAAATGAATAATACCAACTTATTTTCCCTTGTGAAATAAGATTATTTCATGCCAACACATTCACTGAAACTTCATTTACTTAATACTTCATAATATTCCATGCTAGAGGTGAACTCTATTTTATTTAACTATTTACTTACTATGGAGTGTTTAATTTCTCTTTTTTCCAATACAAATACCCTTGTGCATATATCTTTATTGTGTCTGTGCAACTGTTTGTGTGGACCAAATAAGAAGTATAATTGTTTGGTTGAACAATGTGGCAGGTTGAATAATGCCCCCTCCCCAATGATATTCACATCCTAACCTCTGGAACCTTTGAATGTTCTACATATGACAAAAATGACTTTGCAGGTATGATTAAATCAAGGATCTTAAAATGAGGAGATTATCCTGGATTGCCCAGGTAGGTCCTAAATGCAGTCAAGAAGGGCAGCAGAAGGTGAGAAAAGCTGATGTGATGTGGTGCCATGACCCCACTAAGGAGGTCAAC